ATAGTCTATCCGACTTCATTACAGTTTATTGAGCTGTATATAGTTATTTGTGCTTTTTCTTTTTTATTTAGAAATGATTTTTTCTTTTTAAATCAGTAAAGAAAAGTCCAAAAGTTTTCCTTAAAAGCGAGCAGCCACAAGTTTTGAATTCCCAGGTAGAATAATCCCTGTGGTCCAGACCGAAACTGACGGTTCATCCCTGTGAATTAATCTGCAAGGCTTTCACAAGATATGTAAGGGAAAAAAAGCGTCTGAAGCATGAAATTATATTATAGAGAGCAGAACTACACGGGAGCTAAAAGAAAGTGTAGTTTTCATCTGGAAATCACACAAGAAACGAGCGCAGTTCTCAGTGAGGGCTCCTGCCCGCTGCAGCAACACGCCAACATCATTACCAACTTTTTCAAAAAGTTTTCGTCTTCACGCCTCTTACCTCGGTTTCTCCTCGGGTTGGCTTGTTTCCTACGCTTTCCCCGACTTTCTTCTGTCATCTTTGGGCTTTGTTTATTTTGAGGAAAAAAGAAAAAGTTGCCTGGGGAGCGGTGCGACTGCGTGTCCTGAGTGGCTGCCTTGAGAATGAATGGTGCAGAAGCATCGCCTTCGGTCACAGCGGGAGCCTCAGACCTTGATGGGACTCCCACGCGAGCGAAGGCGACGAGCCGTAAGGAGTGATGTCAGCGGCAGAGGCTGGCCCTGAGGTCAGTCTTGGCATCGTAAACATACACCTTCCCCAGTCCGAGCGCTCATACAGCCTGACAGTTACAAAAAACAAAAGACCCGACTCTGTTACACTTTGACAGCATATCTCGAATTTGCTCCCTTGCACCTCCTCTCTACCCCGAAAGCGACAAGGTCCTCGTTGCCTCCATCTATTGGGGAAAAATTAAAGCCATACTGGCCATACTGAAAATGTTCCTCCATGCATCATCTAAAGACAGCTGCTGAGATGAATGAAAAGGTTATAAATGATTAATGCAGTTAAAGGTGAATTAGGCTGGGTTGTTTATGGGGCCAGTTATTATTAAGATTTTTTTTAAACAATTGTGAGATTTGGTGATGGGATTAAGAGTGTTGTCTTCGTTGCAGGTGTAGTTTTTATACTTTAGCTGATCAGGACAGGCTCTCCCTGTCCCCTTTCTCATGGAGCCTCCACAGTAGGCGCAACGTCTCTACCTGAATCTCTAGGCTCGCTGCCTGGGACTAAATTATAGGCTCAGTCTGCAACATTTTTACCAAGAAGACATTACACTAAATGCAGGTTAATGACAACAGGTATATATAACCCCTCTCCACCGCCCATCCCCCCTCCCCTTCCCCCTCCCCTCCGTTTTTTTACGGCTTGGCTATTATTCAAGCCGCAGTCGCACCTGCGCCCGAGTATCCCGGAGCGGACCCCGTCCTGCGCCCTATTCAGCTTGGGATGGCTGTAGGAAGTGATGCATTGACAGTCTTTTGTGGTGCAACCTGCACCGTAATCTGTTTTGCAACTGAAAAAAACATCCGAAATAAAACTCTAACGTAGCGTTCAGGACCCCTACCTTGGCTCTTTTTCTTTTTTGTTGCCCCCTCCACCTTTGAGTGGCTTTGCCGCATAATAAGAGCGACCAGGTAGCTTTTCACGGCGCATAATGTGTCCCGCTACAGGGAGTCTACGTGGGGTAAACAAACAGGGACCTGACAGAGTGACCCAGATTAAGTTAGGCTAAAGATGGAGAAGTAAAGGGACACTGACTTTTTTTTTTTTTTTTTTTAACGAGAAGGCAACCCAACAGCAAACGGAGTAGCCAACCAGAATGAGCAGAATCAGAATAAGCCTTAAGGGATATATTTGAAATATAGAGGCATTTTTATAGTACTCAAATTACTTCCATCTTGTTACTTTTTCCAACACTACATGAGCTCAACTTTACATTTAAAACAAGACCTATACCCCGTCCCAAAATACATTCCCCTTTCATTCCTTCGCCATCATGACATGAGGAGGTTTTTTTTTTTCTTTAATGGATTCTGGAAGAGAAGGCATCCTGAAGGTGGGGAGGGAGCACAGGGCAGAAGAAAGAGAAGGACACAAGGGTCATCACGGCTCTTTGTGGTAGGATGGATGGAGGAGAGGGTGGAGAGGAGGTGGATGAGGAGGGGCAATAAACTTTGGCACAGATGAGGGTCACAGGGGTGCAGAGGTGCCTCAGAGGTCCTGGGAGCTGCTTTCTTTCTTTTTTTTGTAAATTTTAAATACCTCCACATCCACGTCGATGCGATGGATAGGTGGATTTTTCCAAGCATAATGTGAAGTGATTTCACTCAGGTTATAAGTTTTGGTTGAAGGTTACGTGCTGCCTGGAGTTTGAGCTAAAGCATCTATTCAACAAACAAAAAAAGATGCGCTATATTACACTTATTTTCATAAACTGACTACACCCAGGTGCAGCAACGCTGTGGTGGTGTAGTTTGAGTTTTGTCTTGTCATGCTTAAACAACACCGCTCTCTCTCTCTCTCTCTCTCACACACACACACACATGAAGGAAGCAGTCCTACTGGGGTTTTGTCCCAATCTGTGGTCTGTGGGTTCAAAGCTTCTTCCATGGGGAGGAGAGCCCTTACACAGCATATTAAGCAGGAGTTAATTATATGCCAGTCTAAGTGACAAAGGGAAAGAAAAGCCTTCTTCTGAATGGCAAGACAAGAAAAGAGAAAAGTCATTATGCTGCCCACTTCTTTGCATTTGAAAAACTCTGTTCTTATTTTGGTATTTCCATTCGCCACAGAAAAATGGTGACCACATTACAGACGAGCAACAACACTATCTTGATATTACTGCCATCTGACTTATTACATTAGATTTGTTGTTTTTTTGACACGCACTCGCTCTAGTTTGGTGAAAGGAGCCGTGTTTTGCCTCGTAAAGCCTTTGGTCTGAAAGAAGAAAGAGGATAATGCCCATTTTGAGCATATCAGAGCAGGTCAGTGCGCTTTAGATTTGGTCATTTTGTCAAGCAAGATTACAGTGTAACCACTAAAGCTTTGCAGTAAATAGTTTAAAATGAGCACCATTCAAGTCTTTTAGAAGGCATTATCTTTAAAAGGGTGAAACCCTACTACTTTATAGAGCCCATCTCTGTCAGTTGCATCTATAGGTAGCCTCTTAAGTGTACATGGGCGAGGTAAAATTAGTTTGTTTTGCACTAAAACTAATGCAAAATGAAAACTAATGTTTTGTTTTGCATGTGTATGTGTATGTGTTTTGTTTTGCATGTGTATCTGCAATTATTTATAAGTGTAATTCTTCTTTTTGTCCTCTCTCAGCATAGATGCTTCTGCAAACACCTTACGTGACCCCTCTGATGGAAACAGAGCTATTGTTTCAAATCACAAATCTGGATATGCCAGAGTGCAAATCAGTAGTCCCTCAGTAAAACTTCCCCTTGCCTTGGAGCAAATGAGTCAGCTTCAGTATCACTGCCAGGCTGTAGTGGCTGCCCGTGAGTCTGCTGTGCCATGCCACAACACCGCAACGCCAATATAGTCTAAGCACACTGGGGCCCCTGGATCAAAATTAGCCACTGGAGAAAGTAAAGGTAGTGACAACATCTTAGAAAGCCAGCTCTGTAATGTAAATCAGCTTTTCGGGCTTATCAAGAAAAAAGAAGAAGAATAGATTAAATGACAAATTATTTTGGTTAAATGAGGAGAAATCTGTGTAACCAGTAGTTATTAGGACGCAACACTGGTATTCTAATATTTCAGTTTTAAAAGTTTGCACGTAGTGACTTTATTACAAGTTGCAGTCAGTTATAAATCAGTTAGCTGGTTTGGCTCGTTCGCGCGGTGCTTTTATTTAATGACGTTATGGTTACTACAGCTCACGCGCCTGTAAGGAAAGCCGAATGCTTTAGTTTGACCTTTTGACTGGGACTATGGTTGGGCGCATTTTCACGATTTCACGACAAAACATGAACAATAACGTAAACTGCGACTTATGGTCAACTTACCAAAATTCACAACGTTTCTTTTAATCAGTCGCTCAGTGTTTAGAGGTGAAGTTTGATGAACAGGTGTACATCCCTGGTTCTCCTCGCCCCGGCGGAAGGATACCTCGTGGAGTCCCAGGATACAGCAATAATCGCAAGTTTATTACAGGGAGGAAATATACTTTTCTTTTCCGTTTTCTCTAATTTTACTCCAGTCTGA